AACACTACCGCTCCCAGAGCAATATATGGTTTAGTTTTATAAGCTCTGGTGAGTTTATTCAAGTTTTTGGTGGTGGTATTGTCACGTTTATATTTTTTGTGCACGTTTTTTTGTGTCACATATCTTAAAGTGTGGACTTTTTATTTTTATTTTTTATTTATGCATTACTTATATATTCTTTGATTCACGGATATATTTTATATATTTACTAGCGCAAATTACTTTTTTGTGGTATTTGTTACACTTTTTATTTATGGTGATTTTTTTGTAGCTGGTATATTATAATAAGTGATTTGTAGATCTATTTCTTCCTCTTTCCATAGGCGCCATTATATTTATTTTTCTATTTATAACTACAGGAAATGTCTGACTTTTATGATTGCCAACAAGGGATTTGCCACCAAGTACTAAGTCATGTTTTGTGAAGGTATTCAAATACTTATTTCCCTCATGAACATTCAAATCAGTGCATAATTTGTTAGACATGCATTTCTTTTGAATTTTTTGTTTCTATTCTTTCTCTGTGTTACAATACACCTACCATTCGATTTTTAGATGATCATTTCTTTGTGAGTGAGCAAACATTCAAAATCAGCAGGGATCAAATACTTATTTCCTTCACTGTACTTGTTAAGTGTGATTCTTGTGCAATAAATGGTGCTTTTAATTTTCTACACTGAGAGGCATATTTTTTATATCTATATGGGTGTATATACACGCCGTGTATTATATGGTCGTGGTCATCTGAGGAGAGGCTTGAGTTATTGCGGTCCGGCTTGACGCACACAATTCACTCCCTGATTTATTAACTAAAGAGCATGCTGACTTCTCTGAATAAGGGGGTCAATATATCTAGTAAGCATCCATCTTGTGTCCACAGTAGTGTTGGGTGACACTGGTGATTATGGAAGACTAAGAGATGATTTCAGAGCGTTTACCTTAAAGGGGACTTTTATATATAATTTCACAATTGTAAAATAGTTCTCCATACATCTCCTCTTTTTGGGACGTTTTTTTTTCTTCGCTCAATATTTTTACCACTTTTTTTCACTTGAATGAGATTATTATTCACTTCAATTTATAGTTTGATGTTAATTTATTTGTGTTTATTATATTTTCACATTCTTTCTTGGTTTTTATGCACATTTATATCTATTAGCACAACACTGGTTATTGATTTGTGTATAGTAGCCAATCAGCTTCTAACTTTAGCTTATTCAATTAAGCTCTGGCAATAAAACCTGGAAGCTGATCGATTTCTATGCAGAGTTGTGCCAGATTTTTGAGCTTTAGTAAATAACTCCCACTGTTGAGTAGGTAGAAGCAAGCAGAAGGAGAAATTGGCATTAGGAAAGATGCAAACCTTGTGTCGCATAGCAGGTTTTCAAACCTTTTCCCTTCTTGTGTTAAGTTCCCCAAATAGGACTGAGAGCAACTGCGATCTGAATCCTCAGTCTGAGGACCCTAGCTGTGGGTCAGACAAAATCTTGTAGCGGGTCAGATGTGGCCCGTGTGCTCTAGGTTGGAGACCCCAGGTTTAGACTTTAGGAACCCTTACCTGGTTTACACTACATTTTCTGTTGGGGAACAAAAACCAGCTAAAAAAGTAAAACAATAGAAAAGTGCTGGTTCAAGCCTTACAAAGTTAAATGTTATGAGACCCTCCATGTAATTTAAATTCTGCTAATCTAGACCGTCTCATTCTGTAATTAGGTTCATGAGTAATGGTGTTTTGGCTTCTATAATGTGTCCAAGCAAATTCAACTAGTTTGAAGTTAGAATCATTCACCTATTGCCTTTATTTTCCTGACTTTCTGTGAGGTGTCCAAGGCCTGGCCGGATGAGATTCCCTCTTTATTTACATAAAACCCCCACATAATGTTTTCCATTGTTGGGCCTCTGTAATTGAGGAGTTACATTAAATAAGTGCTCTGCTTGCAATCATATATAAAGATAGGCACTTCCAAAAGTTTAATAAGGAAAACACCTCAAGGGTTTGACTGCGCTTTCATACACTTTCTGGATAAATAATGTGAATAAATAGAAAAATGTGCGATCATAAATACACAAATAGATTGTCCATATAGACCTTAGTAAGGTCCAAATAGTGAGCAGTGCAAATATAATCCACTCAAAGGGTGATACAACTGTGCCACCATATGCTGTGCTTCTCCTCTCCACCACACAGAAACACAACATACTCCCCAGAGGGTATTGACTCCTTTAAAAAGAAATCAACATACACTTGCCCAGTATTAACTAGTCATCTCCACGAATAGCTGTTCTACTCCTGTGGACCTCCAATCCACTTTTTTACTGATGGATAAATGCAAGAACTGAGTGGTTTAAACAGCATTCCTCTGTCTTTAAAAGGACTCAATAATTTATCCAGCTCATGTCAGGGGAGAGATAAAGGCGCCTCCCATAGTGTAATAACCTCTTTTAAATGGAAAAAAAAAATGAAATGCACTTACAAGTAGTTAAGATCACATAGGTATATAGACATACACAGGAATGCCGATTTGCCAAATGCATTCCAATAACCGGAGGTGACATAAACCGAAAGTGCCGTTGTACTCGTTTCATCAGCAAACATCTGACATCCCAGGTGGCTGGCAGGGAGTGTAAAGGATGCTCTTATCGAAAGAAACTTCATGATTCTCCTGTTTTATCTTTATTGTGTGTTTGCTGTTTGTTCTAACTTCTTTCTTATGAAAATAGTACTTTTATGACTACTAGCACTAAAATTAATGATTTAGAGAGTATGCTAAATGTTACAGATCATCAGTGGTGGAGAAATATATTATATATAATATATTCTATATTACCATATATTCTAACACATTTCAAATGTATTGGTTATCCGGTGTTCTGAGATTTTTTTTTTTTAGAGAGCGTAGACTTGACTGATAGACCACCTGAACAGGAACACCAATTGGTTCTGAACAAATGGTATTTACAGCGGTATTGAACACCAAAGGAGAAAATTTTAATATATTGCAGCTTACCAATTCCTATATGTGGTGGCTGCATTTTTCTTTTTTTTGTGTTTATTTTCACCTGGTGATTTGGCCAGTAACACACTTCCTGTCTTATGGTGGTTCCACTGTGTGGAGTAGCAATTGTCAACCTGTGGAGACGGTACTGTTAGACTAGCAGATTTAGATGGACTTGAATAACACTTTTTTATTATTATTATTATTATACAGGATTTATATAGCGCCAACAGTTTGCTCACTGCTTTACAATATAACGGCAGACAATAAAGTAACAATACAGTTCAATACAAGAGGGATAGGAGGGCCCTGATCCTTGGAGCTTACAATCTAAGAGATGAACTCCAGCTAACACTTTTTGAGCAGTTACAGCAGTTTTCTTTTTGGGATATAGGTTTAAATACATGAATACATTCTAATCATAGCTAACTCCCCTGTCAGTTGTAAATGGTTTGCCTCAACCCCTTAACTACAACATTTGCTGGACAGCTTACAATGTTAAAGAAAGGGGAAAAATTTACCAGGTCTAAATAAAGGAAAAAAAAGAGAAAACTAATGCACAACATTGAGAACTGGTAAACTGCAGTATGTTATACTTTTGCGCTTAATACTACTTTAAGGTTTTGCTTTTAGTTTTAAATGTTTTAAAGTGATTGTAAGGTTTTTTTTTTTATTTTTAAAAAATTAGAAACATGTTATACTTACTGCTCTGTGCAATGGTTTTGTACAGAGCAGCTTTGATCCTTCTCTTCTCTGGTCCCCCACCGGTGCGCCTGGCTCCTCCTGCCTTCTAAGCACCCCCATAGCAAGCCATTTGCTATGTAAGTACTCATGCGGACCTAACTGGAATGTGTGCATCTATTGATACAAACAGTGTGGCTTGGCTTGGTTCTGTCCCCTGCTCCCTCGTCACTGGATTTGATTGTTAGCAGCAGGGGCCAATGGCTCCACTCCCACTGCTATCACTAACTCCAATGAGGAGAGAGCAGCACCACTGCTCTTGGGCACAGCACTAGATCAAGATCTGGCTCAAGTATGTATTTAGGGGGGGTGGGCTGCTCATAAAAAATTGTATAACTTAATGAACAGGATGTAGCAAGGTGACCAAAAAAACTTTCGTGTCTTTACAACCAATTTTTATATGTCACCCTTAACCACTTGACCTCCAGAGGATTTACCCCCCTTAATGACCAGGCCTCTTTTTGCTACTCGGCGCTGCACTAATTCAACTGATAATTGCGCGGTCATGCAATGCTGCACCCAAACGAAATTTACGTCCTTTTTTTCACACAAATAGAGCTTTCTTTCGGTGGTATTTTATCACCTGTGCGCTTTTTTTTTTTTTTTTTCACGCTATAAACAAAAAAAGGCCAAAAATTTTGAAGAAAAACGATATATTTTACTTTCAGCTATGAAAAATATATAGTAAACTCAAAGTTAGTTATAAATTTAGGCCAAAATGTATTCTGCTACGTTTTTGGTAAAAAAAAAATCCCAATAAGTGTATATTGATTGCTTTGTGTGAAAGTTATAGCGTCTACAAACTATGGTATAGATACTGCAATTTACGCTATTTTTTTGCTATACAGCGCTGCGCTAGTTTAACGGACAATTGCGCGGTCATGCAAAATGGTACATAAATGGTACATCTTTTTTTTTTTCCCACAAATTGAGCTTTCTTTCGGTGGTATTTGATTGCCTGTGCGGTTTTTATTTTTTGCGCTATAAAAAAAAAAAAGGCTGACAATTTTGAGGAAAAAATATTTTGGACTTTTTGCTATAAAACATATCCAGTAAAAAAAAATTTAAAAATCAAATTTAGTCATAAATTTCTGCCAAACTGCATTCTGCGACATGTCTTTAGTAAAAAAAAAAAAAAAAAAAAAAAACCAATACGTGTAAATTAATTGGTTTACGTGAAAGTTATAGCGTTTACAAATGGCGGGAAAGATACTGGGATTTTTTAGTTTTTTTTTTTTTTATACTAATAATGGCGACGATCAGCGACTTATGGCGGCGATCAGCGACTTATGGCAGGACTGCGGCGGACATTCTGACATTGGGGGGTAAGGACTTGGGGTCACTGACATCCCCAGTGACACCAATACAGTGATCAGTGCAAAAAAAAAAAACACGGACACTGTACTAATGGCACTGGGGAGGAAGGGGTTAAGTTTATTATTCAGGGAAAGGGTTAACTGTGTGAGGGGAGTGTGTTTTACTAGTGGGCGGGGGTGTGTACTGCAGGGAACACCGCTAATCAGGAGAGAGAAACTCTTCTGTCCCGATCAGCGTGTCCTGAAGCTGTCCGGGAACTAACAGAAAGCACAGCTACTGCAGCTGTGCTCTCTGTCAGCGATTGCCGCCGATCGCCAGGACATAGCCGGTAACGATCGGCTATGACCCGGCGACTGACATCCGCAGCTGTGATCGGCGGGACAGGTAGGGCGGCGGCGTGCCTCCTACCTGTTTTAAAAACACACATTTTAAAACGTGGTTTTGCCGAGCCGTGCCGCCCTGCCGCCGTATTTCTACAGTGGCTGGGCGGCATGTGGTTAAAGTCAACCTTTTCAGTTATACACTCACTGGTCACTTTATTAAGTACACCTTGCTAGTGCCAAGAAAATATCCCACACACCATTACACTACCATCAGCCTGAATTGTTGATACAAGGCAGGATGGATCCGTGCTTTCATGTTTATGCCAAATTCTGACCCTACCATCTGAATGCCACAGCAACCAGTCTGCCCATTCTCTTCTGATATCAACAAGGCATTTTCATCCACAAACTGCCACACACTGGATATTTTCACTTTTTCGGACAATTCTCTGTAAGCCCTAGAGATGGTTGTGCATGAAAAAAGATCAGAAGTTTTGAAATACTCAGACCAGCCCATCTGGCACCAACAACAATGCCGCGTTCAAAGACAATTAAATTCCCTTTCTTCCCCATTTTGATGCTCGGTTTGAACTTCAGTAAGTCATCTTCACCACTTCTATGTGTCTAAATGCATTGAGTTGCTGCCATGTGATTGACTGATTAGCAATTTGTGTTGCCAAGCAATTGAACAGGTGTACCTAATAAAGTGGCCAGTATATTGTACATTCACATCAGTCCCTAAGCCTCAAGGAGCATACAATCTAAGGTCCCTAGCTCACATTCATACATACACCTATATTAGGGACAATTTAGACAGGAGTCAATTAACCTACCAGCATGTGTTTGGAGTGTGGGAGGAAACAAGAGTACTTGGAGAAAACCCAGGCAGACATGGGGAGAACATGCAAACTCCAGGCAGGTGGTGCCGTGGTCGAGATTTGAACCAATGACCCAAGTACTGCCAGGTGGAAGTGCTAACTGTTTAGCCACTGTGCTGCCCATATCCCTACTGAGATTTACAAAACCCAGCCAGACAGCATGGCCTGACCTTTCTCTGCTGCAGTAAAACAGTACAGCTAGGTCATCATCTACCTGCCTCTAGTCCATGACTAGGCAGTGAAGGAGCAACAACAGGCTCATGAAGTCATCCCTCTGCACTCTCCTCATATTAACATGTTCCTTGCCAATCAATGTGACCTCTCTCCCTCACTCCCCTAATAAGAGTACTTCTTTACGGAGGTTTACATGAGGCCAAAATCAAGTCAAAATCGGATGCTTTTACTATTTTTTTTTATGTTTTTTTTAATCGATATGTAACTGCATTCACTAGTACAGTATTTTTGAAACATCAGCCTGAAGCTTAGCTTTAGCCATCTGTAGTTCAAACATGTCTACATCCTTAAGGGCTCATGCACTGGGCTTAAAAAATGCCGCATCTAAAGTTTCTTGGCGCATTTTTTTCTGCCTATAGACACACCTCCCTGTTGGCTTATGTGTCCATGCACCTATAGGCATTTACAGGCATGTTAGAAGAGGAGCGTTTTACAGGCTAAAAAAAACATATCACCAGCTCATTCACATGAAGAACTTTTGAACGGAAAGATTGTGAAACACTCATAAACTAGTTAGGCACATTTAGGCGAGTTTGTGTCTTAATGCATTCTAATGGCCAGAATAAATTCTATTTTGACCAACAGAATGCATTAACACCAAGTGTGCAAAACACAGATTTTCCTGCCAGGATTAAAAAGGTGTTTGGAGGAAAGATTCAAATGGCCAGTGTGCATGAGCCCTTGTGTGTTTATTTCGGAAAGCAGAAGACATGGAGCAGCACAGTGGCTAAGTGGTTAGCACTTCCGCCTGGCAGTACTAGGGTCGCTGGTTCAAATCCCAACCACGGCACCACCTGCCTGGAATTTGTATGTTCTCCCTGTGTCTGCGTGGGTTTCCTCCGGGTACTCTGGTTTCCTCCCACACTCCAAAAGACATGCTGGTAGGTTAATTGGTTCCTGTCTAAATTGTCCCTAGTATGTGTATGTATGAATGTGAGTTAGGGACCTTAGAATGTACACCCCTTGAGGGTGAGGGACTGATGTGAATGTACAATATATATGTAAAGAGCTGCGTAAATTGATGGCGCTATACAAGTACCTGAAATAAGACATGCATAGAAGGCCATCTAGTAGATCATCTACTAGACACTGTCATGGAGCATTCTTGAGTGGCTATTGTAGCTGTCAATAAGTGATCCATAAATTACCATTGTAGATATTAACAATGATCTAGGTTGTGTGTTGTCATGAGTAATTAATGTGTAGAGAGATAGACACCGCTGGACTGTAATGACCTCTTCACAGATACCACATGTGAATAGTTTATTATATCATGACGTCAGACAAGTGTCCTAAGCAGTAAAGGTTGATGTCCATCGTGATGATATGCAGGCTAAGCTGCCAGTACTTATTACACGTCCTGATGATCAAACATAAGGTACGGACGTTTTTATCTCCTGGAAAAAAAGGTTCATCATACTTCCAGATCACACAAGTACATTATATAGCTGTGCGAAAAACTAACTTAAGTAAATACTGGCAAATTGCTGCCTATTATAAACCCTCTCCATACTGGATTTAGAATATAACAAATATAATCATCATATAAAGATGATGATTCACAAAAATCACACTGTATCCATAATTACTGTAGGGCAGTTTAGAAATAACTATGGTTCATTCTGAGAAATGGATTTTTTATGGTGTCTCCATCTTTCTAATCTCCAGGACCTGCTTTGCTTCTTTTCTTTCTGCCGAGCTATTTATCTCATTAGCATGCCATGATTGAGTAGACTTGTCTCATGGAGAATGTTGTGGCTTATATATATTGGGCTGTCAATTTGCATGATAAAAGTGAGTGGGAGGGGGCAAAAACACAGCAACAAGGTCATCTGGACCTGGATTGCCTATTATCCATACCCTCATCACGAAGAAAATGGTAAAAACTTGATTAACCTTTTCATAATATATTTGAAAAGCTATAGTTGTTTGCTAATACTGGTTTGCTGATACTGATTTTGTTACCATCTTTATTTTCTGGACTGATGACTTATTATTTATTTATTTTTTAGGATTGTGTACAGTTGAACCAGTACAAATTGCAAAGCGAAATTGGCAAAGTGAGTATTCCATAAATGTTCTAAACGTATGCAGTATATTTGCCTTGTTTGTTTGTCCAGAGAAATTGAAAACAACACGTTACATGTAGATGCAAAAGCAGTCTTGTGGGTGGGACATTTCACAGTAACGCAGGAAGGAGTACTTCACTACAATGTTTAATTTTGGATTGTGTAAGGCTAGGCTCATATCTGTGAGGTTGGTGCCCTGCTGTGGATCTGCACGAAAATCCGCACCACCCGCACAGAGAAATGCGGACCCGCGGGGGGCGCAATTAGTTCTAATAGCACGCCGCCTGCACTGGAAAATGCAACCGTACTGGGAACCAAGGTCTGCGTTTTCTGAAGAAGTACAGGGACTTCTTCCCTGCGTGTCACAGGGCAGGAGAGTCCATTGAAATGAATTGGCTCTCGTGCCAGCGCAAAACGCGGCCCACATGGCCGCATATATGTGAACCGGGGCTAAGGGAGGGTTATAACCCCAGGCAGTTTTTTTTTTTTTTTTTTCTTTTCCTTTTTGCATCCATGTTTCATTAGTGGAAATTTCCTTTCACCTCCTGTCCCATAACCAAAACAGGAAGTGAAAGGAAATCTCCCCAAAGTGAGGGAATCCTAGTTTGCACCAGTCACCAGAACTAGTGTCTCATTGGAAGTTTTCCCCTCTGTTGCTGTTCTAGGGACAACCCAAGATTTTGGATTTTCTTTCACTTTCGATGATAACAATAAGCATGACAAATAGAGAAATTGAATTTCCCTAACTGGTGCACAGACTGCAATAAAACCTAACAGGTGTTCTAAAAAAAAAGTTTTGTCTTTAGTTATACCTAAAGGAGAAGTTCAACTTTCAACAAAAAATAATAAATGCACATTATGTGCAGGTAAAGAAATGTGCATTTATTATTTTTTGTTTTGGGAACCTGTAAAACATGCACCAGGGAACAGCAGATCAGCTGATGCCATGCAGGTCTCCTGCAGATCTGTCAGTGTATCGGCTTCCTCATACAGGGAAGCCGATACTGGCAGGAAGACTCAATAAACAACCACAACACTCACAGCGCCATGGTAGTTCATTGAGAACTACAAGCCAACAGCCGCAAAGGCTGCTGGGACTTGTAGTTTGCTCATTCACAGAACACTGCCACGTCTTTTTTAAAATTGTGACAGCAAGCAGAGAGAAGATCCCCTGCTAGCTGTCACAATGGGGATCGGGGAGAGTGGGGGCTGGTCCGTTTGTAACATGTTACAATGTGTTATCCTTAACCACTTGCCCTCCAGAGGATTTACCCCCCTTCCTGACCAGGCCATTTTTTGCGATACAGCGCTGCGTTACTTTGACAATTGTGCGGTCATGCAACACTGCACCTAAATTGAATTTGTCCTTTTTTCCCACAAACAGAGCTTTCTTTCAGTGGTATTTGATCATCTGTACATTCTTTATTTTTTGTAATATAAACAAAAAAAGGCAAACCATTTTTAAAAAAAAAAAAAAAAAAATATGTTTTTGACTTTTTGCTATTAAGCATGTCCAGTAAAAAAATAAAAAACAAATTTTGTCATAAATTTAGGCAAAAATGTATTCTTCTACATTTCTTTGCTTAAAAAATATCCTGATACGTGTACATTAATTGGTTTATGTGACGTTATAGCGGTTAGAAATGGCAGTGTATATACAGTGGAATTTAAGAATAACATTTTTTTTACTAGTAATGGCGGCAATCAGTGACTTATAGCAGGACTGCGGCGGGCATTCTGACACTGGGGGGGAACTGACTTGGTGTCACTGACATCCCCAGTGACACCAATACAGTGATCAGTGCTAATAAATAGCACTGACACTGTACTAATGGCACTGGGCAGGAAGGGGTTGACATGTGGGGCGATCAAAGGATTAACTGTGTTCTGTGCTATGTAGAGCCACACAAAGCAGTGTGCAGGAGCTGACGGGAGAGATCTGTATTGTTTACATATAGGTCTCTCTCCCGTCGGTAATACTCAGAGATCGCCGAGTGCCGGTGGGGAATCACCGGCCAGGACCCGGTGGCTGACAGCCGAGGCTGCAAATGGCGGCGAGGGTTGGGTGTGCACGCCCCCCCTACCCGGAACTGCAAATTCATGTGTATACAGTATATACGTGATTTTGTGCACCCGTGCCGCCCTGTAGCAGTATTTTTCTGCTATAAGGTGGAGTCGAAGCGCTATGGATGTAACATGTTACGAAAGTTGAACTTATACTTTAAAACCACACCTAGACCAAATAGATTTTTATGCATCATAGTGGTAAACGATACATTAGGAGCTGTGCAGAGTGAAAAAGTCCTATTTTTGCATTCTATGAACTAAATTACATTTCTTGTGTTTTGCTGTATTGGGTGTTTAGATTTGTAGTTTGTCTAGGGTGCTGTACATTTTGTCTGGTTACGCCTATCCAAAGAATGCTTTGTTTTGCAGGTATTTAGGCTTGAAAATTCTATATTAAAATATTATGCTTCATGAATGAAATATCCAATTTGCTATATGCATTTGTTGGCTTTATTTTTACATGTTGCTTTACATAGCAATATTTCATCATGGCCGGTTTTATGGAATATCCTGAATATAGTTAAGACAGCATTGCAGTAATCAACTGGTTTTAAGTCTCTTACCACATGATGCTGTTCTATGCAGTCTCTCTGTCCGAGGATTACAGTGGACCAAGATATTTGTCGACTTGTACTTATTTAATTCAGTCTTTCAGAAAATTAGGATTTTGATGGCAGTTACCGAATGAATATTAGTCTCATTGCACCCAAACAATGATGCTCACGTGAGCTTCTGGAGTTTGTTTGCTCATTATATGGCGCTATAAGGACATATTGCACCCAAACCACTATTTGGTTGGAATGTACCTATAGTTAACTACAGATGCTCATGAGAGCATTCGAGACATTCAGGAACGTATGCTTGATCAATATATGGTGCTTTCAGGACCCATTGCATATGATGCATCTGATTAGAATGTACCGGTTAGTTAAATATTAATACTTATATGAGCATTAGATCTGGTTCACAACTGTGCATTTCCTTAGGTACATTTTACATGCATTATCACTGAATTCTATATGGTGTATTTTGGTGAAAGTGCATTTAAAATTCAGGGTTTTTTTTTTTTTTAGTGCGCTGCACCTAAAATTCACAGATGTGAACAGGGCCTTAGAGGCATTAAGCAACATAAAATTGCTCAATGTAGATGCATGCAGCACCTACCTATAGTTCATTGAAAAAGTATTCATGCCCTTTGAAGTTTTCCACATTTGTCATTTTACAAACAAAAATGTAAATGTATTTTATTGGGATTTTATGTGATAGACCAACATGAACTGGCGCATAAGATCCTTTTTTTTTTTTTTTTTTTTTTTTTTTTTAAGTGGAATTTGTTTTGTTACTGGGCAGAATAAAAATGCAAAAGGCGGCAAAAACACACACTACAATGCATTTCAGCAGATTCCACATTGAACTCCATTGTAGCCAAAACACTGCTTTTTGCTTTTAAAAAAGTCCCTGACACTGTCCAAAAACGCAGCAGCTCAAAAAACCATAGATATGAACATGTCCCATAGGAAACCATGTTAAATGGACTGTAGTGCATTTCTGCAAAAAGCACTAAAAAACGCATTGGTGTGAATGGAGCCTAAGTGTATTTTTTTTTTAATAAAAATTTGTGTTTAGAACTACTTTCTTTGTTCTCCAGGGTCTCTGCTTTCAGGATTAGTATAATGTTTGGGGGTTTTACCTAATCATCAGGCCTAAAATGATTCTTTAACTACCTGCCGACCGCAGATAGCCGAATGACGGCTGCACTGCGGCCGGCCAGTTCTGGGTGGACGTCATATGACGTCCCCCCAGAACGCGCTCTCCTGCGCGCCCCAGGGGGCGCGCACCCGGCGATCTCCGTGATCGCTGTGTCCTACGGACACAGCTGATCACGAGATGTGGTAAAAGGCCGATCATACCGGCCTTTTACCACGTGATCAGCGGTGTCCAATGACATGCTGATCACAGGGAAATGCAAGTGCCGGTTCTCGGCTGCACTTTCCTCACGCTGTCAGATCGTGAGGAAAGTACTGCCGAGAACCGGCAGTTGTCAGAGCGGGGATCGGCACCGATCATCAGGGCACTGATGATCAGTGCCCTGATGATCGGTGCCCAGCAGTGACACCCGCAAGTTCCGCCCAGCAGTGCGCCCACTAGCTCCGCCCACCCATGCCCAGCAGTGCCCCCACCTGTGCCCAGCAGTGCCCCCACCTGTGCCCAGCAGTGCACCCACCTGTGCCACTCTGCAGTGCCACCTACCTGTGCCCAGAAGTGCCACCCACCTGTGCCCAGCAGTGCCACCCACCTGTGCCCACCAGTGCCACCCACCTGTGCCCACCAGTGCCACCACCTGTGCCCACCCACCAGTGCTGCCCACCAGTGCCACCCACCAGTGCAGCCCAGCAGTGCTGCCAGTCAGTGCCACCAGTCAGTGCCCAGGGGTTGTGCCAGTCAGTGCCGCCAGTCAGTGCCCAGCAGTGATGCCAGTCAGTGCCGTCTATCAGTACCCATAATCAGTCACCTATCAGTGCCGCCTATCAGTGCTGCATATCAGTGCCGCCTATCCGTGACCCCTAATTAGTGCTGTCTATCAGTGCCTCCTATCCGTGCCACCTCATTAGTACTGCCTATCAGTGCCCTTTAGTGCTGCCTATCAGTGCCACCTATCAGTGCCCATCAGTGCTGCCTCATCAACGCACATCAGTGATGGAGAAAAAATACCTGTTTGAAAAATTGTATAAAAGAAACAAATAAACTTTTTTTTTTTTTCAAATTTTTTGCACTTTTTTATTTATAGCGCAAAAAGTAAAGCGCCCAGTGGCGATTAAATACCACCAAAAGAAAGCTCTATTTGTGAGAAAAAAATGATCGAAATTTCATATGGGTACAATGTTGCATGACCGCGCAATTGTCAATCAAAGTGCGGCAGCGCTGAAAGCTGAAAATTGGCCTGGTAAGGAAGGGGGTATAAGTGCCTGGTAGGCAAGTGGTTAAACATGCAAAACATGAAAAAAAATTGCTCTTGCAATGAAAGGATCAAAAGAAATCGCCTCCCATTGAAGTCCATACAGAAACCAACACTTCAGGAGTGTCGGTGTTTTGTATCCCATGCTTCGCTGATTTACCGTTCGACTTCTATCAGACAGAGAGGGCCATATGTACCCAGCTTTACAGCTTTCTTTAGAAGGTTTCTCCTTATGTATTGTTTAATTAGCCACTTAAGGACCTTGGACATATTAGGTATGCCCTCTTTATATTCATCTAAATACAAGGGTATAGCACATGCCGACAGTCTTTGTTGCTGAAGCACTGACTGCACCACCTGTGTGAATGAATAAAATCACAGCTGTTATACACACTTGTAAAAATCTTAATATTTGGTCATACATTTACTTAACCCCCCCAGAGCATTATATATTTTCTGAAAGCAGAAACCCTGTAAAAAATAAAAAGATGATATCTGTGCAATTGCAACAAATTTTTAGGGACAAGTATAATTACATGAATTTTAGTGCAAACACAGGCAATATAATACCAATTTTTGAAATTAAAATATAAAAGATGAGGTTGCATCGAGTAAATGGATATCAAACATGTTAAGTCTTAAAATTCTGTGTGCTCGTCATATTGCAAAATACTACAGTACCCAAAAACCTCCATAGATGTCACTTTAAACGCCTTTACAGCCTATCAGTTTAGAGTTAACTGTGAGCTCTGGTGCTAGAATTATTGCTCCTGTTCTGATATTCATGGCAATTCCTGACGTGTGCTGTGACTGTGGTTTACATACCCATGGCGTGTATTTGCGGCTGTGTGACGGGCAGCAGGGGTTATGGTTAATATTTTGTTTTTCTTAAAGATTTTCTTTAAAACATATTTTTTTTTTTAGTTTTTTATTTGATTTTTTTTTTTCTTTTTACTACTATAAAAAGACACCAATGACTCCCCTCCGCTTCATAGCATCTAACCGAGCACAGATCTGCTCATTAAATTTTCCCCAGGCTGTTCTGGCCAGCGAATGGAAGATCTGGATAACTTCATCACTTCTGGTTTCAAATACTTTATTCCCTGGCTGGTAGAGAGATGATGAAGGCATCGATGTGCCTTGGTCTCCTCCTACTCTCTATCCTGAAGTCGGTGGTCCCTGGCTCCCAATAAGTGCAGGAGAGCCTGGGAACCAAGGGTGAGGGGGTGCCTGCTGGGGGTGGACACTATGCCGCCAGGACTGTGAAAGTAATTGGCGACTGTACAGCCGCTTCATCACTTTCACTTTCAAGCGGGGAGCCAGTAAAATAAAACTGTCTACATAGCAGGGTTTGGAAGCAAGCCTGCATGAGTACCTCCATAGTAAATGGCTTTCTTTGGGGAGCACTCAGCAGAAGGGACGTCGGTGGGGGACCCAAGAAGAGGTGGATTGCACAGAGCAGGTAAGTGTGACATGCATGCTATTTTAATTTAATTTTTTTTAAAAATGAGCATTTACAATTACTTTGTCTGTAGTACTATCTGATCAATGTGCTCAGCTAGTTTTGGCCTATTAAAATGAAGACCTCTATTCAGCTAGAATGCCTTGAAAATGAGCTGCTCTGAAATTAGGGAATGCAGTAGAGAACTTATTTTTAACACATGACTTAGATTCTTGATGTCTCTTTTGTACAGCAATGAAAATGCTGTGTATTATTAATATGGTGCCTAGCAACCTACATTCAGTATTTACTGTACCAGTAAGGTTTGAAATTTGAATTGATCAGTCTTTGTATAGAAAGTAAAAGATGCAAAAATAATTATTCTGAAAAGAAAAGAATAATCAGTTCTTTGTATTTTCTAATAAAAATGTAGATGTGTTTCTCTTTCAATCATTTGGGGGCACAGCTCTGCTTTGGATGATCATTGACTGGGTATATCAGCACCTTCACAAGTGGGCACTAGATGCCCTTAAAAACAAAAGACAGT